AAGCTCGCCTACTCCATTTTTTTCAATAACTTGGAGTCTTTAAATTGTAAATCTACATACTTTGGCGATTTCTTTGAAGCGCGTTTAATTCATAAAAGTTTTAGTATTTGACGTCACGATAGACTTTTAACAAATGAAACTCTGGAAATATTTTTATTTATTTTTATTCAAACTTTTTTTGATTATTTATTAAGTTTTTTTTTCTTTCTATTTTTAACATTTAAAAAGATATTAAAAGCCTCAAATATTTTATGCTGGTTCGTTGCTATAAATTGTTATTGCGCCATGTATTTTTGTTTATAAATTATGTTAATGTTAATGTTTATAAATGTTATAAGGCCATGTTAATGTTTATAAATTATGAATATTATCTCAATCAATTCTGATAAAAAATTGTTTTACATTATTTACCCTTATAAAATTAGTAAAAGCATTTTTATTTGGTTAGATAATATTTCGTCTCAATTTGCTTTGCATAAAGTTCGGGAAGTCAAGCGAAAAAAATTAGTTTGAATAATCACTTTGAAATATATTCAAAACAAATTATTTTAATGACGGGGGTTTAAAAGTTTTTTATAACAAATGTAGGTAAAAAATAAATAATTAAATAAAAAGTTCAACATTAAGCATCATTTCTTTATTATATTGCAACTGTAAATATTGAAATATTAACTTGAACTAAATTTACTTATTATTTAGAACGACTAAACAATAAATGTTGTTTATTTGATAATTGCTGTTGGTAATGTTGTTTATGTTGATTATTTTCATTAATATCAAAATAGTCCCAGATTAATCTGTTAGTTGCTTTGTTCATTGTTACTTTATTTCTAACTTAATTTTATCTCTAAGTATAAATTTATGTTAAGAAAGAAAAGTCTTTATTTCGTCGCTCTCTTATTTTATAAAAGAGTAGAACAAAAGAGAAAGAAAAGTTTCGTGTAATTAAACTTCGAATGAATAAGAGTAGTATAGAATATATATATTTTTTTGCGTCACTCTTTTTTTTTTTAGATGAGAGGAATAAAAGTTTAATAGTAACTTTTCTTTGAATAAATGAAAATTGCAAGAGAAAATTGCTTGAAAATTTGTATTTGCTGTGTTTTAAAATTTTTTTAATTTTTCATGTTAAGAGACAAATGCCAAATACGATACAAATTGGGAAATACCAAATATAATATGTTTTTTAACGCGCTTTATGACATTTTGACAATTTAAATTACCATTTATCTTGAATTATTGCCATTAGTTAATGTGTTAATTATTGCGTTATATAATAATAGTTTGTCCGTATTTTTGTTAAATATTAGTTGTATAAAACGCGCGAAAATATACAAACTTCATGTTTTTTATTTGATGGTTATTAAATATTGAACAGTAAACTTATAATCAAAATTTATAACGCCGACTTGTGTTGCTATTAATTGTAATTTTAATGCAAAACCAGGATCTCACATATCCTTTCACGAATTTTCATATCTGATACTACTGTCAACTGTATTATTTAGGGTATTCTTGTTCTTTTTATTCAAAACCTTAACAGGTTCTAATTGGTATGGAGTTGCCGACATTTTTAGAGTTTCATTATCAAATATCAAATGTAAAATAAAATGATATTTCCTTTTTACCCGTATCCAACTTAGCAAATTTAGCAATTTAAAATAAATCAGCGTAATCAAAAAATTTTTATAACAAAAAAAAGTTAACAATTCATCAAATATCTCTAATTAATAATGTCAGTTTATGAAATTAATTGTTAATACTTTTTTTGGACGGGAAAACAAAAAATATCATAGCGTAAAAATAACCAGAGAAGTTAGAAAAAAGTTCCCATTGTTTAAATAAAAATAAGTAAGATTCAGAATATATAATACTTCACTCTCTTGCACAAAAACGAGAGACCGTATACATAACGTTCTATATAATGTAAAACACTCATATGAAAATCATAAGGTTCGTAAGTAAAGCTTTAATATTTGTTTTAATTTAAAAACAAAAGAAATATAAGTAACATATATAAATCTAAAAATTATTAAGATATTGGTAAAAAAAAAGTTCCTCTTATGAAATAAAAAGCTTTTATTATTTTTGATTTTTACAAAAATTTGTTGTAAAAGTTGTTTTGCTGTATGTTAAAATTTTTTTTTTTTTTAATTAAAATAGAAAAACGCAGCTTTGTTTAATTGCACTTTTCTTTTGTTAAAAATCTACCGTGACGTCAAATGCTAAAACTTTTATGAATTAAACGCGCTTCAAAGGTCTGTAGATTGCGACCTATAATTGAAAGACTCCGAGTTATTGAAAAAAATGGAGAGCTTTGGCTAAAACAACAACATTAGTTTTTCTCGGTATTCATTCATTACTTATTTTTAATCAAAAAAACTTGGTTCAAAGCTTTTTTTTTAACATTATCTTTAATATGAACACAACATGTGTTGGGAGTTTGGGATCCCTTTAAGTTAATTAATATATAAATATAAATATATATACATATATATATATATACATATATATATATATATATATATATATATATATATATATATATATATATATATATATATATATATATATATATATATATATATATATACATATATACACACACACGCCAGAACAAATTTATTAAAAGTAAATATAACGATTTGCTATATGTTGCCTAAGGAACCTTTAAGCTGTGTAACAATCACATTGCCTAACTAATGATTCATACAGCCAACTTGTAAGCTGTTTACTTTGAAAATATGTTACAAGCCTCAGGCATTTTGCAGAGGGCAATTAAGAATCAAAAGGTGCAAACTAATATACACTTAGATGCTATTATGATAATATTATACCAGGGTGGCCAGCCAACTGGAAATCATGGAAAAGTCAGGGAATTTTTTTCTAGTCAGGGAAATCAGGGAAAAATGTTTTTTTTGAAAATTTAATTTTTTTTTAAAGGTTTTTTTTTACTTACTCCCAAACAACAAAACTTAAAAATTCACACTTTAAAATATAACTGAGTCAGGGAAAAATATAAAAAGTCAGGGAATTTAATTAGTGAAAGTGGCTGGCCACCCTGCATATATAATTTATATATATATATATATATATATATATATATATATATATATATATATATATATATATATATATATATATATATATATATATATATATATATATATATATATATATATATATATATATATATATATATATATATATACATATATATATATATATATATATATATATATATATATATATATATATATATATATATATATATATATATATATATATATCCCAGCCGGCATTATTACGTTGTTTCAACGTTGAAATTCGGTTGAAGCGTTGATTCAACGTTGTTCAACTATGTCACAACGTTAAATCAACGTTACCGTTTAAACTTTGATTATTTAACGTTATTTCAACGTTAAATCAACGTTACAGTTTAAACGTTGATTATTTAACGTTATTTTAACGTCATTATTTCACAAAAAATACGATATAAAATTTATGCGCGCGCAGAAATGGAAGTAAAATCGTAAACATTATTTTAACGATTAAAGTTATAGAGATTTATAATGGAAAAAAAATGTAAATGCTGAACTTATATCATATAGAATTTTCAAGAGATCGAAAACATGTTCAGACGATTTTCCTGAAAGAACATTATCGTTTAAAAATCGATATTTTTCGTTTAACTTGGGCTACAATGTTCAAAGACTGATATTATTAAATGTAAATATAATACAGCTTTTTCAAAAAATGACCCATTAAATTATGTTGAATTTAATGCTAAGCGTTGTTTTTTAATGAAGCATCCAGAATTAAAAAAGGAAATTGATAACTTTAAAAAAGAACTTCAGCACGAAATAAAAAAATAAAGATTTATATGAAAAATTAACTTCAACCACATCAGTTATTACTATGAAAACAGACAAATTTGTATATAAACATAATCCAAACAAATCGTGTTATTACAGTTTACTTGTATACAAACATTTATTTTAAAAATAATAGATCTTGTGACTTTTATACTGGCCTTACATCTGTCAATGTGTTTCATCAGTTAGTGCAGTATCACCATTAATCAAGAGATAAAGTGATATTAAAAAAAAACATTTACTTCTGTTTTTTGAAATTTAAAAAAATCCTTAACTACTTGGACCAAAATAAATATAATGCAGCAAAGATGAATTTTTAATGATGCTAATACTTGGATTATTGACAGCTGATTTTGCTGACAGGTTTAATATATTTTTAGGATTAGCGAATGCAATATTTTCTTCATCGTTGAAAGCTTCTAGCTCACTTTTAAACCACATGGTTTTTGTTCCAAGTAAAAATGTTATAAGACAGGCAATGCAAAACAGATTTTAGAAAGTAAATTATTCAGACTAACAGTAAATTTTAGATATAACAGAATTTATTATGGCATCACCTTAAAATTTTGACTTACAGAAACTAACAGGGAATGAATACAAACATTACAGCAATATAAAAACATTAGTACCCGTAGCTCCAAATTCATCAATAATTTCTTTAAAAAATTTCTGAAGCTTACAGAAGCTAAATTTCGGATAAAAAAATTACATATCGCAACAATTATTTAGATTGTATTACAAAATACTCTTGTATAATGTATGATTAAGGCTTTAATAATTATTTTTTAATACAAATGAAGCGATTTTAATTGAATCCATTTTTATCAGTCACTTTAAAAGTATGATGAGTATTTGTATAAAGATAATTAAAATTTCAAACAATAATATTTGCTTTACTTGTTGTTGTTTTTTAGGTGAATCAATTGCAATTGATGGAATATCTTTAAAATGCTGAAGTAAGTATAATAATTTTTAATTATTCAGGAATTTTAAGGATTAAATTATGAGTTCAATTTAAATTAAAAAAAAAAATTAATATTAGTTCTCGCATAATTAATATCAGTTCTCTTATCTATTAAAATTTAGAATATTTTCCAACAATTTTGTGATCTCCATAAATATGAAGGGAAAGGTGGAAATATGCTTTAAGAGCACTAATTTATATGGTGTAGTGAAAGGTATACCTTTATAAGATATGAAAAACTTTTTTATTCTCATTTTTTATATATTCAAAAATTTCTCCTTGTGTTTTTTTTTTTTTTTTTTTTTTTTTTTCTAATTCTTTTTTATTAACAGCTTCTTCTATTAAATACGATGGAACAACTGAAACTTTAATTGATGGCATTTTGTCTAACTTCTAAAAATGTGCTTTATTTCGAAAAGATGGCGGAAAAGAAAAAAATTTAGATTGATTGATATAAATTTATATTTATGAAAATCAATCTAAAATTTCTTTATTGAAATATTTACATATATTTCAATAAAGAAATATTTTCTTTTTGTCTGCTAATATTTTTTTTTTTTCAGTGTTAATTCAACATTACAAATTAAAACTCAATTATGAAAAATGTCTAGAATTGAGTTGATGTTTTAAGTAAAATAAGAAAAGCCCAAAAAGTAACTGATGTAATATTTTTATTTTTTGAAAAAAAAAATTCCAATAATGTTTAAAATTGGTATTAATATTAATGTTTATTAGATGAAGATGAGTGAAAAATAAGTAATGTTTATTAGATAAAGATAAGTAAAAAAATATGTTACAAGTTATTTTTTGATCTTGAAAATTGTTTGAATGATAATTTATTATTTATCAAAATATTTTCTTTTTTAATTTTTGTTGTTTTTATATTTTAATTAAAAGTCGATATTATTGTGTCATATATTATAATATACCTTAAATTATACTATTATATTTTATATTAATAATGAGTATTTTTATTTTTTTGTATTTCTATTTTTTTCAATATTCCATAATTATCTTATGTAGATGTTTATGTTTTAGCAACCTAGTATTCTTTCATTATTTGTCTTTGTTATTGAGCCTTAAGTTATTTGAACATAATATATTCAGAACTCTGCTGAATAATAGAGTAATAAATAAGTTAATAAAAATGAGTTTAAAATATTATAAATTTATAAAATAAAGAAAATCTTATCTTTGCTTATAATGTCTACTAATATTATTGTTTAGCAAGTATCATGGTTATAAAATGTTCAAATTTAGCTAGTTTAATTAGGCCTGTTAGTACACTTATAATACAGTTTCTTCATTTTATATTAGTTCATGTAATTTTTTCAAAATCGAATATGCGGAAAGGAGCTGTTTGGAATGAAGATTTACAAGAAGAAGTAATTCCATCTAATTGAATTAGTGATAAAATTGTTTGTCGGCATCCAGCTACCAAAGCATTGACTGCACTAAAATGCAGAGAAGAATAGGCTTAAGTTTATACAAATAAAAACTAAATTCTCTTCAGGTATTACATCTATATATTACAATTTTTATTATTTAAATAATGTGGTAAAAAAAGTTATTTTGTCGATACAAAATATATAACTATTTGTATAACTATTTCAATTCTAAAAGAAAGCAAACAGTATTGTGAAAATTTTAAATTCACAACTACAAAAGAAAAATGTGATAATGAGAATGTTGACAAGTGGATGCAAGATTTGCACACAAGTGGAAACTTGGATGCAAATTTTCCATTTGTGTGGTTTGGATGGTTCTCCACAATATAATATATCTCCACAAGCATAATATTAGATTTACTTCATGTTTTTTACAGATAAATCAATTACAGATAAATTAATTAGTTAATTGGTGGAACGTCTTCTAAAGATAGAATACACAAAATTATGCTGAGGTAATCAAAAACAGTATTGGGCTCTTACCTCATTTATAATCAGGGTGTCTGCAGCTCCTCTAAAATCCTCTAAAGTCCTCTTTATTTTAAAACCACTTCTAAAATCCTCTATTATCCTCTAAAGAGGTAAAAATTTGATCAAAGCTCCTCATTATTTCTTCCTTTTTTAATTTTTGATGGAAGTATTATGTTCAAAATACCCATTCTCGGTCTGCAAAACTGATTAACGCCTTAAAGTGCATGAAATGTAAAAAGTTGCTTTAGAAAATGCATGCCATTTAACATAATAAATGACATTATTTGATCCCTGTCCCAGCCCCATAAGTGTATAAACATGGACGTTAAACCATTAATAAATGGCCACATAAAATTTCTTATAAAAATTTTATGTGGCCACCCCGAAAATTATTTTTAAATGCTAGAAATGTTTTATATTTTGACTACCAATTTATTTTTAATATATTAAAAAGGTTGTTTTATTTAAATTAAATATTTGAAAAAGTTATTAATAACCAACTAACAGTTATATTATTTTTTTAAAATTCAGAGTATTTTCGAAAAGTTATATGGTCTCTATGGATATGAAGGGCAAAGGTGGAAAAATATGTTTTAAGAACACTAATCTATATGGCGTTGAAAAAGATGTGCCTTCATAAGATGTAACACTTTTCCATTCATTATTTATTTTTTAAATCTTCCTTTTTTGATTTTTTTAATATATTTTTTTTATTTACAGCTTCTTCAATTGTATTCAATGGACCAAAAGAACCCTCGGTTAATGGAACATTGTTTGACTTTCTAAATTACGCTTTATTTCAAAAAGGTGGTGGAAAAGAGAAGAAATTTGTGTAGATTTTATTCAATTACATGTAAATATATGTAATATTTGAATATGTATTTTTAAATAAAACAAGTTTTATCTCTTTCTTTAATCATACCTAGCTTTTTTAACTAAACTAAACTGAAAAAGTTCTAAATAGTCTAAGTATAGACTATGAATAGATTTAATATTCATAATATACCTTGATAATATGATAATTTCGCGTCGAATCAACGTTGATATAACGTTTGAACCTAACGTTGATTTAACGTTGATAAATCAACGTTGAAAAAAACTTTCATTCTAAACGTTAAATCAACGTTAATTCAATGTTATTGTAACGTTTTTTCGCGTCGATTCAACGTTGATATAACGTTTGAACCTAACGTTGATTTAACGTTGATAAATCAACGTTGAAAAAAACTTTCATTCTAAACGTTAAACCAACGTTAATTCAACGTTAGGTTTCAACGATATTTCAACGTTATTTCAACGTTATTTGCCGGCTGGGATATATATATATATATATATATATATATATATATATATATATATATATATATATATATATATATATATATATATATATATATATATATATATATATTTACTCTCTCTCTCTCTCTCTCTCTCTCTCTCTCTCTCTCTCTCTCTCTCTCTCTCTATATATATATATATATATATATATATATATATATATATATAGATATATATATATATATATATATATATATATATATATATATATATATATATATATATATATATATATATATATATATATATATATATATATATATATATATATATATATATATATACATATATATCCTGGACATTAAATTCACCATTAAGACTATATCCTGGACATTAAATTCACCACAGATGTACAACCAAAATTTTTGACATCAATAAACTCGTTAATAAATTAAGTGAGTATAATTAAAAACCAATCGAACTAATGCTTCAACTATCCTTCTTTTCTAAAAAAAATCTATGTTGATAACGAATACTAAAAAGTTATTCCACAAAGCCTTCCTCAAGCACGCTAACTTTTAAGAGACTACGAAAAACGTGGAACAGAATTTTAGCACAAAATTCGGTTCCGTAAAACGCAATACTCACGTACCTATTGTAAAGTTACTTTCCAGCTATTATTGCTAAGTAAGGTCGCATCAAGTTGTTAAAATAAACACCTAAAAGTAACCAGATTAAATATTAATTTGTCTTTCAGAAAAGTTTTATTTAGAATATCATAAATTCAATAAATTTAACAAGCTCATAGAAAGCAATACAAATTTTATTATTTCTTTATAGCGATATTTCTCTACGTCGTTAATGTTTTGCGTGTTTTTGATTCCCTTTTGTAATTATCAAGAACCTTTGTAATAATTGTGTTTTTACAATATTAAATTCCTATAATAGTGTTAAAAGCAAAATTTAATTAACTAAGGTAAATAGTATTAAAACCAAAAACTTTTCAATGTAAAAAAAAAGAAAAAACAAAAAAAAAAACAAAAAAACAAAGCAGTTTAAAAGAAATCATTAATAAGATTTGTATACTTTGAAATATTCTTTTTTATTAGTTTTTGAAAGCAATTTATATTAATTACACTTGGTAAATTACTATATTTTGCTAAGATTTTATTCCAGATATGCGGAGCACGATATGTAATTTTAAATTGTTCTTGTTTGGTTTTGCATAATGGTTCAATTAAACCTGTTGTGCGTAAAGTATATTTAATGTTAGGTTTTATTTCACAAAGATCATAAAATTGAGGGGTATTGTTGAAATTTACTTTTGTACATGAGACATAAAATTTTATAAACGTTTATCTCGTATAATGTAAAAATATTCATAATTTCGAACAGTGGTTTTGCATTTTTATTTTTAAAATTTATTATTCTCAAAGCATGTTTTTGTTTTCGATAGAATGTTTCAACCTTGCTTTTAGATGTACTACACCACGTAATATTCGCGTAATTCAAGTAACTTTGTATAAAACTGAAATAGATTTGTTTTAGATGATGTTTATTAAATAAATATCGTCACTGATATAGAACGCCAATACTTTTTGATATTTTGCTGTCAATATAGGCAATATGTTTATTCCAGGTAATATTTTCGTCAATGAGAACACCAAGAAATTTTGTGACTCTTTCGCGACTAATTTCTGTGTTTTTAATAACTAGTTTTGGAAAAGAAGTAGGAATTTTTTTTTTATAGGGTGGAATAATGAGAACTTTGTTTTATTTGAATTAATAGAGAATTTATTTGCATTGAACCATAGTAGAATTTTATCTAACTCGTTGTTCATTTGTACGAAGAGTTGAGGTACATCTTTTCCTGAAATAAAAAAGTTACTGTCGTCAGTAGAGGCCCAAAAAGTAGGAAAAGTAGAGGCCCAAGAATAGATCCTTGGGGCACTCCACAAGAAATTAAAGATGAATATATATAAAGATGAATATATATATATATATATATATATATATATATATATATATATATATATATATATATATATATATATATATATTTTGTATAGATTTCGATATATAGAATATATTCGCGGTTAAGTATTTTGATGTAATAATACGAAGTCTCTTGTACGTGTTACACTGCTCAATATTACTGAATAATAGAGCTATATATAATTATATTTAGATGAATAAAACCAACTGATTAGCGGGACTTAAAGTTTCATGCCCGAAGGCAATCATCAGCCGTTAATACAAACAAAAAACGTAAACAAACCGTTACAAAAACGTAAAAATTACTGTAGAATGACATCTGACGTTATAAACAAATCTACGTAAAAAATCAAAAAACAAAAAACAAAAAGCCGTTATAGTTTATTAGTCCCCTGTGTCAAATAAAGATAAGAGGAATTTTTTTGAATGTTGACACTGAGATACGATTTCGTTTTTTTTATTCAGTAGATTTTTTCCATTATGCGATAAAATTACATATTTTTCGTAGAGACAAAGGTGGCATATTTTTGTTGCTAGATTGTAAGGTTTACAACGTTTGACAATTTTCCATTCTATAATGGGCTTTATGTTTTGGTCTTTTAAGTTCCATACCTCCTTAGATAGTTCTGTGTCATTTCTATATTTAACTGATGCAAATGATTTGAGATGGTTTGCGTATCTTAGTTTAAATGGTGTATTAATAATGCCAAAATATACTTTTTCATTACGATTATGATGACTGGAACTTACGGTTGCTTAATAGACAATATTGTTAGATAAACATTGATTGTTCAAAGGGCAAAATGCCTTATTTACGCAGTTACATTGGTTGGTTTTTAATTGATTTTTGTTGTGTAAAATTTTGAAATTGTGCGAATTTATGATAGATTTTAGGTTAGGCATGCAACTGTAGCTAATATTAATAGAATTTCGGTTGAATATTTTATGTAGCTTGTGGCCGGCTGGAAAATGTATGTCAATAAGGGCTAGAAAACGGTTTCCTATTTTTGTTTTGACGTTTAAACTGAACGGAGGGTTATACCAAATAATATTACGTTTACGTTGCTTTTTTTGTTGATTTTGACTTGAGATTATTTGTGGTTGGTAGGTAAGGTTCGATTTGAATCCCGATTTTAAACTTTAAAAATCATTTTATATCGTGACAACGGTCTTGCTGTATTCAAGAACAAAAACGGTCATATATATATATATATATATATATATATATATATATATATATATATATATATATATATATATATATATATATATATATATATATATATATATATATATATATAATATATAATATATAAAAGGTTTCTAGTTTGAATAAAAAGTTTCGATAATTATTAAAATCTAAAGTACAATTTTTTTTTAAAGAAAGGTTAACAGTTTTTTGTTTTATTCAGGATATGAGAGCACTTTGGCAAATGAATAGGTTTAAGGAGTACAATTTGATTGGGGGCAGAATCAGTCAATGAATCTATGAAACGCCACACATAGTTTCTGGACCCTTATTTATTGTACTAGCCCTAGCTGATGAAAAATGTAAAGAAAGAGGTGATATCGCTTAAAAACTATACAGCTATGAGTTTCATAGTATGGATGAATATCCGTTAGCCCAAGTAAGTGCTAACATAGAGGTCCTCAATTCTTTAGACTTCAGTGGACCGAAGCCTCCCAGCTTAGTTTATTTGGTCACAGAAAATTCTTGGCTATTGTTCCTTATCCAAAGTAAAAGTGACTGTCAATGGATAAAAACCCCTACAGAATATTGGACTTCTGCAATAATTTCTACTTAAAATTTCAGGAGGCAGTTTTTAATCTTTCAATTGTTAATGATGTTCTCGGAAAGAACCGTTAAACTCATAAAAGAAAAAATTGATATTGCCTGAAAAGAAGAGAAAAGACAGGGTTCACTTTTATTTTTGCATGATCACAAAAGGAAATATGGAGGAAAAACTAAGAAATCCAAGAAAAACAAAAATAAAAACACAATAAAAATATAACATAACATAATATAATAAAGTTTTTATAGACCTTGTTTTTATAGACCATACTATATATAGATGTTTTATGCAACATAATTAGATTTTTCCAAATGACTTAACATATCCATAAAGATATTGCATTGCGTAAAAATGGGTAAAAATCTGCATAACTTTGTGTTTATGTAGATAAATTTATACAAAATATTTCAATAAAATAAAATTACCATGCATTTTAATTTTTTTATTCTTTTTATTTCTTAGAAAAAATTCTGAAAAAAAAAATTTAAATTTTTTGAGTTTTAGTACTTGCTCAAACGTGCGAAAAATGGGCTTAAAAAAGGGTAGAAAAGCCTAAAATATGACTTTAGAGGCACTTGAACAACACCTAAAAGTGGTCAAAATTTAAAAAAAAAAAAAATTTTACTAATAAAATATGGGTCGGCGCAGCAGATAACACTCGATAGTACTTTAAATTTTTTCATGACCTCAAAATGAAGCAGTCTAATATATATATATATATTTAAATTGCCTTTTATGTTTTTTTGGGAGACGCAATTTGGCAAGAGTTTGACTGCGACTTACAAAAACATAATTAAAGTTAATTAAACTAGTTAAAGAGATCAAATTAGAGAATTAATCAATTTAAACAAATTTGTCAAACATTTGTACCAGATCATTCATCTGGCTTGAAAAAATGGCATATATAATTATATTTAATTGTTTATCGTTAATATAATTGTTTATCGGCTTAACAAACCAGTTAAAATTACATTTTAATGTTTACGTTTATAGTAGTTTCAGACATTGTCCCGAGGCAAGCTGTAAATAAATTTAAAATCATTAAATAAAACTGCAATTTTATGATCATTATTGCAACATTTATCGTCTTCATTTATAGTCGAATTTTTTAATATTAAGTGTTTTTAATAAAATATTTTTATTAAGTGTTTTTTAAAACTTCTTGCTCAATGGTTATTGCAAAAAATTGAAGTTTTGTCATTATTTATAACAAATTGTGCGTCGTAAAATTTTTTTTAATTTTAAGACCGAGATTTTAGACAATATATATAGCTTTAACAAAGTCTGGAAAAATTTAAAAGGTTGTAATTAACAATTTATCTTATCATGCCAAATATTTCATTTTTAGAACTAAAGACTTTATTTTAAAGTGAAGATATGCTTAAAATATGTTTATAAACAAATAAAAGTATTAACAAGCTAATGTTAAATTTGCTCAGAGATCAATTTAAAAACCCTTAGGAAGTAAAAAAAAAAGAAAAAAGAAAAGCTTAAGGAATTAAATTAAATACAAAATAAAAAACGTTTCCATATAATTCCATTTGTCGTGAAGTTTTATTTTAAATCTCATTATCGTTATATATACATAAATCAAAAAAAAATTAATTTCTTTAATTTGCTACTTCCTACGTCTAATAATTTTCGTAAAAAAATGTAAACGTTGATACCGTGCTGACAAAAAGTACAAAATTTGACAACCGACATAATATTTAATTATTAAGAAAATTTAAATAGTTTTTTGCAATTAAAAAAATTATTACCGCTTTTAACAAATAAGTGAGAACGTATTTATACAAGTAATGACATAAAACATTCATGTCTTATGCAATATACAAAAAGATTTAAAAATTGGTTTTATGTTATACAAAAATTTATTTATAGAAAAAGTAATATATTTATTCAATAAAAAAAAAAAAAGAAAAGTAATATATTTATTTTATAAACAAAATATATTTATACAAAAAGATTTAAAAAATTGGTTTTATATGTTTTTAGTTACGTATGTTAAACAAATGTGTTATATTATATTATGTATGTTATATTATTATATTATTAATTTGACAACCGACATAAATAATTCGTTGTTAAAAAAATTTAAATAACTTTTTGCAATTAAAAAAATTTATACCGCTTTTGCCAATTAAGTGTGAAACGTAATTATACAAGTAATGACATAAAACATTCATGTCTTATGTAATATACAAAAAGATTTATGATCGTATATGTGAAACATTTAGTTACGTATGTTAAACATATGTGTTATATTATATTATACAATTGTTATATTATTATATTATTTATGCTATTATATTATATACTAAGTTATATTATTTTATTATTTGTATATTATTTAATCTAACCAAGGTAAAATCTAGAGTCACCATTTTTAAAACCCATTGTTATATAAATATTGAGCAGACTCATGAAGATGTTGCATGAAAAACTCATATGAAAATGTTGCATGAAAAGTTTAAAAATTTGATTAAAATTACTTTTTTTTAACGTTTAGTGTTAGATAAACTTAAAGCGCGAACTGTATGCGTCGTTAGTAAAATTTTACTGAAAATTTGCATTCTTTGATAAATATTGCTTATTGTATTTTATTATATTTCATTGTAAATGTCAAATTTAATGTTCATTGTAAATGTCAAATTTGAACTATCTTAATCAAATCGCATGACGTCGTATTAAATTAGCATTTTTTTTTAATTATTCTGTAATATAAATGTTTTATAAAGTCATTATTTTAGATGAACATTTATTAAATCTTTTTGATAACAAAGAATAAATTAAATTAATATAAATTAAATAAAAACCTTCCCCTGTGATTGCCATTCTAACATCGAAAAGTAAACATGTGCTAAATTAGTATTAACGAGTGTAACGATATTATTGAAAAATTCAATAAAAATATGAAGTTTGCGTTGTTTCTTTACCACATTTTAGACGCGTGCTGCGGTACATGAACGTACAAAATAAGCATAGTACAAAATACAAAATACACTTAATAAGACCCGTGCTAAATTACATGCACAATAGATAAACAATAACAATATATATATATATATATATATATATATATATATATATATATATATATATATATATATATATATATATATATATATATATGTATATATATATATATATATATATATATATATATATATATATATATATAACAACAATAACAATATATATATATATTCTAAAATAAAAGAATAATATGGCTGACGATTGCCGAAAGGCATTCGTCAGCCATATTCAAAAGTATAAAATATAAATATATAAATGTATAAAATATAAATATATGAATAACGTTATAAAAAGTATAAAATATAAATATATAAATAACGTTATAGTATAAAATATAATTATATAAAATATAACTATATAAAATATAACTATATAAAATATAACTATATAAAATATAAATATATAAAATATAAATATATAAATGACATAGTATAAAATATAAATATATAACATGAATACAGGCGTGATAGCAAGTGAATACAACGTGAATACAGGCGTGAAAGCAAGCGTTCAGTTAAATATCTAAAGCAAAGAAGCATACTGGCTGCTACGTTAGCGAACTAACGCAACACTCGCAACGGATTTCACATAAAATTACAATATGAAAACCTTCCTTTAAAATTACCTGATTTGATTTACCTGATTTTATTAGATGGCATACTAATTGTAAAAGATGAGTCAATAAAATTATTATCGATGAAAATTTATCGTGGCTTCCCCACATAAATTATGATTAATCAAATATTCGAACAATTGGTTTGATGTACCGAATTTGTCCATACATAAGAAATTAATGTACCGAATTCGTCTAGAAAGTTTAAAACTAGTTTATTGACCTAATACATTGTTTCATTTACTATTCCGATAGTACAGGAGCTATGACAATATTACATGAGCTAGTACTCAATCAACAAAGCTTAAAAAATGAAAATCGAGTTCCATTTTTTTTTTTTTTTTTTTTGATTGTTTCTTTTTTTTTTTAATTTAAAATAATTTGTCAGTATATTTGAATGACTAAAAATAGCTAAAATTATATAAATACTATTCTCTTGATTTAATGAAAATATTTATGCTTTTATTTTTTTATTAGAATTGTACATACATATGGAGTATTAACATTCTCATTTAATTTTAACTAGTAAAATCCACATAGGGGCACATGTATGTATGTATGTATGTATGTATGTATGTATGTATGTATGTATGTATGTATGTATGTATGTATGTATGTATGTATGTATGTATGTATGTATGTATGTATGTATGTATGTATGTATGTATGTATGTATGTATGTATGTATGTATGTATGTATGTATGTATGTATGTATGTATGTATGTATGTATGTATACATCTATATACAAATTTGAAAACTTAATGTTTATTTTCTATTAAATGTTTTACATTTCCAAATCCAAAGTATAAATATAAATAAAATAAATATATGCATTTTGTATTAGTCATTTTTTAATTAATAAACGCTTTTCTGCGTAAAGGCAACCAAAATTTTAACTAAAATTTCAAGTATGTTACTTGTATTTCAAATAAACAAAAAAAAAAAAAATAAAGAAAGAAAAGACTCATTATGTCAGAAAATAAAATGCGGTGTCGCACTGTAGCTTATACTTTAAAAGATATCAAACAAAGTTTTAAACTCAACTTCAGCGATATGAAAGTAATAAAAAAATATTAACATATAAAAAAAAAATTTAGAAAAAAAACTGATAACTACTGTTTATATTAAAAAAATTTTTTTTGTAAGTAAACAGTAAGACTGATAACTATTATTGATATGAAAAAATTTTAGTTTGTTCATATATTTGTTATCAAAGAGTGACGTTGTAATTGACAAAACCCTCTGGTATTTTAGAGCTTTTTTGAAAATATTTTTTTAAATTTATGTCTGAGATCAGTTTTGATTTTCCTTAAGATCAAAGGTTTCCTGAGAGCATTCTGTAGATCAATGGTTTTTTCTATCATCAGAAATTTTTACACCGTATCTTTTCTTGGCGGATCCAACAGGATAGTTTTCCTAAATATCAGTAATTTCTTGTATTTATTTTTTAGATATCTTGGATTTCCTACTCGTGTGTTTCCATTTTAAAGCAGGTTGTATTAAAACTACACGTTAGCTTCATCTCAGAACATACTAATGAATCGTTTGCATAATGTAAACAATGTCTTGTACATTTTTCATCGTTAATACACTTTGGTTTAAAGTTCTTTTTTACTAAAACAGAAATCAAAACCATTTTGTTTGTAGTATTGAAAATTAAACACATACACTCAGCTGCTCGTATTCGCAAACACTCTCTTTCTCTCTCGCACACACACACATAAACTTATAAGTCAAAAGTTAGTTATTTATATGAGGTTATAAAATTAATCTTTAAAGAAATGACTGCCTGTTGTAAAAAAAACCTTCATTCAACACTTATCATAGCTAATAACTTGATGTATTTAAACTTATTTTTTTAATTTTAAATTTGAACAGGTTTCTTTTAAAAAATCAATTAATGCATGTATACTTGCGTCATTCCCTAAAGAAATTAGTTGATGCAAGTGCATTGCGCTTACAAATAAATAATTGTGATGTAATATAAAATGTATTAAAATAATTTATAAACATATTTATATATGAAGTTATAGCTTATAATTCTTTTTGTTGTTAAATCTATAAACTGTAAATTTTTCATAACAACAAAATAAAAAAGAAACATTAACCATTTTCTCCATTGTCTTGATATTAAAAACGTCACAATAAAGAAGCTGTACCTGGCTTTATGTGATCAACTTAACAGTTTACTAAGAAAAAAAAAATTCCCTAATTTTTACATCTACCAGACCAGATTACTTCCAGTAGATGTTCTTTTAATTTAGAAAATAAAAAACAATGAAGTGTGCAGCGTTATCACAGTATGCAGTTTTAGGGGGTTTTTAATTAGCTTAAGTGTTTTAAGTGTCAATAAATAAAGCTTGCAGAGTAACTTAATGATAAACAAAAGGATATAGTACATATTATGCTTTCAATAAAAATTTTGTATGGTTATAAATGACGTAATTTTTCAACACTTGCAAATAAGTTCATTATTTTTAAACGCAATTGGATTTAAAAAATGCGCGCAAACTTTGTGCAAATCATAACAAATTTTTGTAAACCAAATTTTGAGATTTCGAATAATAGATTAAAAGTGTCAAAACTTGTCGTCAACCCCTTTTCCTCCTTTAAAGAAAACTTGAATAATTTTAAAATAAAATAAATAATAACATTTTCTTGAAAAAGCAAGTAAAATAAGTTTTGAAGAGGTACTTTAACAATGTGACGTAGTTTTTATTATTATTTCACACCCACCCACCTCTATGCCACAAAGTGACAGAGGTGTGATTACAGATTTCATGTAATGTCACAAATATTTAAATCCTGTCCTTTCAATATGTCACATTATTAAAGAACGTCTTTAAAACCAAAAAGTTTTGTTATTTTAAGCAGTTTTTAGATAATCTACCATTTTTAATCTTTTGCTTATCTTCTTCACTAATTGCTCCAGATATTTTATAGTTACGACCATTTTTACATTCAAAAAAGTCGCTGTCATGTTGGTTTTCGTAAATTAATTTAATGTATGGTTCGATTTCTACATAGCCCTAAAAAGTAATTTTAATAGTTACACATTTCTAATTGAAAAATACAAACTAAATATAACAACAATTTCAAATAATTCATTAAAACTTATAATGCTTTATTAATAACGTCTCGTTTTATCTGTGAACGTTCTCTTTTTTCTTTACCTTGATAACACCGATAAGTTTAATCCAAAGGTTAATGTCATTAATCATGTTTTTACTTTCCAAATCCACCACTTTCTTTTCAATGGTTGTCACAAAGCATAAATGGTCTCGTTTACAAAACTTCACCAAGTAGTATACAACTGGCTTTAAAAAAAATATTTATAATATTAATCTTTGAATCATCAACGTGTTTTTCAATTTTTAGTATAAATAGTAATAATAAAGTTAAAAAATGCGTAAAAAATATAAAAACCAAGTGAGTTTTTTTATTTCAAAAAAAACGTAAAACAAGATTAAAAAAGATATTTACTTTAATAAACTGAAATAACTTCATTGACCTATCAATTAACTTTAATTAAGGTTATTTTTTTTACTTGATAACTGTTTTTTTTTTATTATTAAAACATGTATTTACTCATTCCAGTGTGGTGTAAGTTTGTTTTCACATTTTATTATTGTTTCTTAAGGAAAAAAATAATTAACAAACTATAAAAACGAGATATAATAATATGATTGTGGAAATACAGTGAATAGTAAATATAGTGAATAGTAAATAATTATTGCGCGTAAAAAGTAGACTAGTTCTAAGTTCTTCGAAAGTAGACTAGGTTTCTATCGTCGGAAGATCTTTGAAAATATTTTATTTGTTAATACGGATCAGTAATCTCCCATCTATCTACCCTCCACATTTTATTTATTTATTTTTTTATTCATGCTGGATTTATATTTATTCCACCAACCAAATATTTTTATAATTACAAATATTTAAAGTAATAAATAAAGCATTTAAATGAAAAGTTTTTGTTAAAATTTTTTTTTCTATTAATTAGTCTAAAAACATTTTTTAAGTTGATAAAGTTATTTCTTCTATAAAAAATGATTGAAACAATAAACCCTATTTCTTTTTACGATTCTGATTTTACCACCTTTGCGCCCCACTTTTCTCGTGTCTTCTCTGCACATATATAAACAAATATAATATAATTAGATTCAATTATATTAGCTTATTATTTATCACAAACTATTAGAATAATTTTCTCCCTACGAATGTTATTACACTTATAGCTTGGTTTCCAATAGTTGTAGCAATGTCTTACAATAGTTGTCACATAACAACTTTATTTTATAGTAGAAATATTTTCTACAACTATTGAAAACCAAGCTTAAGTCTTAATACATTATTTTATGTATTTAAAATACTATGTAACCATGGTGACTTAAGAGCACAATAGAAATTTTTTATAATTTTAAATAAATTAAAAGTGCTTACTGAATTTAGTAAAAATGTAGCCTCCACAAACTCAATTTCTTTTGTGCTTTCGAGAATTTCTGGTACATTAATATCAAGTGGCCCGGTAGTATTGCAGTCTGGTAAAGACAAGTTAACTTCTGAAATAGGCATAGAGTAGACTTGAAAATGCAAGAATATTAAGAATATCCATATAATCATTTTCTCTGTAATTTTTTCCAAAACGCTTGCTAATAGTTCCTGTCGCGTTTTCAGCGTCTCTCACTAACAATCGCTATTTGTACCAAAGCTTTAATAGACATTATAGACGCCAAATCGTCATTGATGCTAAAATGATTTCACATTTAATCTTTTTTCACAACATTTTTCTAGACTCACGTGGATGACTTTTTCACATGGAGCGCAAAATAAAAAAACAATTATTTAGCGAATTAAAAGAAATGATGAGCAAATTATTAACTATGGATAAAATAACACACTATTCTTTTTGCATTCTTCTCATATTTTTTATTTTTCCATCTTTACAAAGGTTCCCAAGGGTTGCGTACATTTACATCCGGCTTATTTTTTAAAAACCCATAAATAATTACTTATGATAATAACGCGCAAAATAATCTAGTTAACATTCTAGATATTTATTTTCGACACAAACATGAACTCATCTTTAAAAAATGAAATTTAAAATTTTAAATATTGATAAAGTCTGCCGAAAAAAAGGGCAAACCCCAAATCATTTTACGTTACACAATTGTTTATTAACATTTCAACGTTGTATTAAAAGTACTACATTAATGTCGTTATAAAATTACATTATTGCTATAAATAAATTACCACTGTCAAATAGAGACTCGCCACATAACTTTCATTTAATTCACCTTGAGTTTAAAAAACGTCCATTTATCACATTACGATAAGTTATATATATATATATATATATATATATATATATATATATATATATATATATATATATATATATATATATATATATATATATATATATATATATATATATATATATATATATATATCGTCGAGGACATGCAAAACCGCGTAACTAACATTGGATAATAACGTATATCTACAGTAAACTTTTTTTTACTGGAGAAGTTTAAAATAGATATTTGGTGTTAAAATTATTAATATCCAAATATAGTATATAGTAGCCAATGCTAGTTACGCGGATTTGCACTATCCCCGACGATATTAGAATGAATGCTTTTTTTAATTGATTAAAAATTCAAATATCAAGCACTGTTTTGCTGACAATAACTGGACACATTTTAATATTGAGAGAAAGGAGGTCAAAAATAAGAATTTAGGAAAAACAATAAAAACAAAAACAGCAAAAAAATCTATTAACACAAACATTTGATTAGAATTTTGAAATCAATTCTTATGGGAATTAGAAGTCAGCACGAATTCTAAAAAAAGTTATCCATCGCTATATTGCTATGAAAACAAATTTGATATTCTCAAGTTGCTTTGCAAACTTCGCATCAAATTAAAAACCAGACATCACACAAGTTCATCCAACAATGTTTACTTTTCTGACAGCAAACAAATTCATCCAACAATGTCTATTTTTATGACAAGTTTTTAAAACAATGTTTTATAACTTGTAAATAAAAGTTGTATTAACATAATCAACAAATATCCAAGAAGCTAAAGATGATTGATATACAAATAATTATAACAAAAATAATAATGATAATAGAGATAAAGTATGGGTGATAGGCAGAAAAAAGTAATTGTGCAATTGTATAGATAGAAAGAGTTAAAAAACGATAATTTAATGAAATTATTTATTTTTTAACTTTTTTTTTTTAAGTATATACTTAATATATATATATATATATATATATATATATATATATATATATATATATTGTTAACAAATTATAAAAAATAATAATCTTGAAATAATAAAATGGAAATTTTAAGATCGTTTAGAGTCTCGTTCTAAAAAAAAAAAAAAAAGGTCTTTAGGTTATACTGTCGTTCAAAAAGAAAAGTTAAGGTTGTACTAACGTACGAAAGCAAAAGCTAAATATTAGATTTCAAAGAAAATAATGGTAAGTTTGGTACTAACATCATTTTGCCGTCAAATTAGTTTGTAGTTTTTACTACTAACTTTGACCGGTAAACTTTCTACTTTAAGGTGCAAACGTATCACAATCCGTAAGCAAACATTTTAGACGTATAGAGCTAAAATTCTGACCTTCAGCCCAGCTGTAGCAGACAAATTAAATGTTTTATTTTCAACAAAGCCTTAAAGCCAAGTAAACGCAATTTTTTTTGGCAATAAATACTGCTTTTTATAAAATGTTTAAAATAAATAGATTTCCAGAGCGGTCAAAATAACGGTAGATTAAGATATTTTTTCAAATCCCTTTGATTTTTCAAATACAAATAAAAATAAAAGTAAAAACTCTAAACACACACACACGCAAAAAAAAAAAATATATATATATATAGGACATAATTTTTTTTTACATACATCGACTAAGGGTTTGTGTTTGGCCAAAAAGAAGAAATAATTTCTTGCATCACCAAACTTAATATAACATATTCTTGTATAACTTTTTATGCTTGCAAAGAACTTTTTTTCAAATATAAAAATGTTATTCCCAGTAAAAGGTTTGGAGTTGAAAACGGAATTGGGATTATTATGGAATAAGATTTTAATATTTTATATACTATAAATAGGGATTTTATTAATTAACTAAGTATAAAGTGACCAATAAATCTAATTAAAACCAGTCAGGAATTTGATATCATGAATCATATCATGATATCAATACATATGATATCATGATATGAGACGTTTATGATATTAATATGATATTAAAATGAAATCACTCTTTGATATCATTTAAAATATTATTTTTTCAATATATACAGCCAGATAAAAATATATAGAACACTAAAGAAAATTCATATATATACTATCTTATTCTAAACATTACCCAAAATATTTAATCTGTAACAATTATAATGTTAAATGTCCCTAAAATGGACTATATTATCAATTAAAAAACACTATATTATCAAAAAGGGCTATAAAGTTAAGTTCTAAATGTCATAAGCTATCCCTTCGAGCATTTGTATTTAAAAGTTACGTTTTAAATATATTTTAAATGTCTTTTAAACGTCTTCTAAACATTCTTACGTAAAATTATTTGGAAAAAGGTTGGACATAAAAAGCATATAGGTGTGTACAATGGGAAGGAGTTCTTTAATCAGTGGTTTTACTGCATACATACTTCATGTTTAAGATTTCCCTAAGATTTCCCCGTGAAGTCTTTCAAGTTTTCTAAACTAGCTGACTTCAGTAATCCAAAAAACAACGTCACAACAAATGGAATGGTTTCACAAATATTGTCAATGTGACACTTGATTGGCCATGAGAAACATATTTGCACTTTTATGGATTTATGGATCAGCAGTCTGTCAATGGTTAGAGACTAACTCCACGAAGTCTATGGTATTGGTTAGATCTCAAAATATCATCTTTAATTTTTTTTATTACTATCTTTTATCAAAATACCATCTTTTATCCTAAAAAACGCGTACTCACCGACTAAACCAATAAAGAAGTAATATGATGCAACTAAATGCAGTTAAAGAAAAATAAAAAATAACATTTAAGTAAAAATGAAATAACTGCAAATAAATATCAAAAGTAAAGTATTCAATACAAATAATTAAACTTTTAAATAAGTCTAACAAATGAAATATCTTGGAAGATTTACAAACCTAACTTTATAGCAAAATCTGAGTTTTAAGGCATTTTCAATAGCGTCATAACTTGTGCTGGAAGATCTACACAAAAGCGATTAAAATGTAGTTACTCTTGTTAGAATACTGAATATTTAACAGTCCATCGACTAGGTCTACTCTAAATGTCAGCATAATATTTTTATTACTTTCATAATAACTGCTTTTACTATCGGTGGTAAGTTCTCAATCCTTTCTGCTACAGTTATAGATTTTAGTCCTAATGACTCCTATTTATAGGATTTAAGTCCTATTATTATGGATTTTAGTTCTATTAAGTCCTTCTATTAAGTTCAATTAACTGTTATTTAAGCAAATAGAATTTTTGACTTCTACACTTACAACATACTTACAAAGGGTATTTATTTACTATGCTAATTTAAAAGTCTTTCCACAAGCGTAGCTAATTCATTTGTGCTTTCCTTTTACTTTTGGAACTTCTACTTTTGGAACTTCTACTTTTGGAACTTCTACTTTTGGAACTTCTACTTTTGGAACTTCTACTTTTGGAACTTCTACTTTTGGAACTTCTACTTTTGGAACTTCTACTTTTGGAACTTCTACTTTTGGAACTTCTTAAATGATTTATGTTTAAAAGTTTCACTGATTTAATTATTGTTATGAATGCTTAGTAAAAAATTTGTTCAAATAAACACTCAAATAAACTGATTGCCAAAGGCTTGTTAACTTTGAGAATATAAAAAGGAGAGATTCGTTCCAATTATACAAACTTATGCATGACATTGACAAAATAAATATTGAAAAACGTTTTCCACTTATTAAAACTATTTTAGAGGGTATTACTTTAGAATATTACTTAGTTGCAATTATGTTAAAAAAGAAATGTTCCCTCTTAATAAAATAGAGCATTTCCTTTTTGAGAGAATTTTAGATGCATGGAACTCAGTTTCAATTGAAGGTGTAACAGAAAAACAGCTTTTAATTAATAGAAACATAACTAATGTAATACTATAACAAATAGAGTACAAAACAACACATTCACTGGGTCTGTCTAACACAACGCAAACTACTACTACTATTAATACTAATATGTACTTAATTAACACGTTCATATTAGTATTTTAAATATGTTATTTAGTTATAATATGTAAATATAGGTCAATGAAATCAGGTGATGCTGCTTGATTTTTTGTAATTACCAAAAATAATGTCATTTATAATTGTTATCTTAAATACAGATGTCTTATTTAAATAAGTACTAAAATCTAATCCGTATAAAGACTAAAAAATAACTTTAGAACAGTTAGACTGTTTTTGAATAAGAATAAGTGATGTGGCATATTATCAATATATTCTCTAGCATATTCGTATTAAAAATAAGTCATCAAAAACAAATATTTTACTCGTTAATTTTATTACTTTAAATGCAATTTAGTTTTTATTTTTTTCAAATTGCAGCTAACAATAAAACAAGTATAAAGTTTCATTTACTTGGTCTTGCGTTTTTTAAATACTTTTTTGCATATCTTTCAGCCATCTTGAAAGTAATAATGAGTTCTTGTAACACGTTTTCCGACAAAGTAGTATGAATGTTAAACAACTTGTATAGCATCACAAAACCTTGAAATCATAGCATGACAAAATCTTGATATCATAATGATATCATAATATGAGTTTATAATTCAAAACTTACTATTTGGACATTAAAAGAGAAAAACTTAACTTTTACTGTACTTTATAACTAACATATGAAATTCTGTTATAAGTTTAGTTTATTTCTCAAAGTTATGGTATCACTATGCAATCATAATGATATCATTATATGATCCCAGCAGGCACAATGACGTTGAAATAACGTTGAAACAACGTCGCAAACCGACCATATGCCACGTTGAAACAACGTTGAAATTTGGTTGAATTGGAAATAAAATCCGACGTCGAAAACTACGACGTTGAAACAACGTCGATGATTACGTCGTTTCAACGTTGATCTAACGTCTTATCGACTACATATCAACCATATTTCAACTTTGAATAGGTGATATATTCGATTGATTCGTAGTTGATAAGACGTTAGAACAACGTTGAAACAACGTAAATTCAACGTTGATTTTTGATTTTTATTTTGGTTAAATCCAATTAACTAAAAAATTTTCTCAACTTTAATTGCAATAAAATAAGACAATAAAAAAGCAATAATTTGCGAAGAGGATATTATATTTCACGTAAATTAATCAGATACAACTAAATTACTTCAATGGACTTTACATACAATGCAAATAGAATAAAATGTTTGAAAAAAAATGTTTTATTTATCAGTAATATATTTGTCAATTTATCAATAACAACTATTATCAATAGTTCCAGAACAACTAGGAAAAAGTATGAATGTTATACATCGGGTTAATAGTTTTTTACGCGCCGACCACCACTATTTAATCTGTCGAGTGCGTATTTTAATAAAGTCATTATTTCTTTTCTTATTTCGGCAACTGTAGCAGTCACTTTAATTGACAAAACTCTCTCTATAAAAAAGGTATTGCCTGAGTAATTTGCATCAAATACATCAAAAAGATAAAAATAAAATAGCATTAAAAAAACGAACTGTGATTTTTAAAAAATATATAACTTTACACTAAACTTACAAGTAAATACCTAATGTTTGTTCCTCTAAACTTCTCTTTACCTTTACCGCCAGCCATATTAAATTTTGATTATAAACCATTGGTCAACAACCTGCATTATACATTGTTATTATTATTATAGTTACATTAAAAATTGATAAACATGTCTTAAACAAAATACAAATTATTCTCAATGAAAAATTGCACAAACCGCAAAGGTTTCTTACCAAACCGTAATGCAAGTAACAAAAAGAATTGATACAGGGGAAGAGTTTTGTCCAAAGAGACCACCTTCTAAACGCAAGAAAATACCAAGAGCGGACAGTATAATCAGAAATATCTGCCTGGAAAACAGAAAAAAAGCCACTAAGCTTATCCATGAAGCTGTAATTGTTGTGTCAGACCGGACCATTTGTAGAAGGCTAAAAGAAGAGGGATTGATGTCCAGCCAAAAAAGTCAAAAATTGACAAAAAAATTTAAAAATATTAAAAATAATGTCAAAAATCTTATATTTATGCAAGATGGTGCAACTTGCCACACAATAAAAACTGTTATGGCTTAGTTGATGTATTGCTATAGCTAGACAACTCGCATGATCTTAACCCCATAGAAAACATTTAGAAAATAGTAAAGCAAGAGATTGGAGAAAAAAATCTTATTAATAAGCAAGATCTTATGGAAGAGATTATCAAGATCTGGCATAATAACCTAATGTTGACAGAAACTATAAAAAATAAATTGCAAGCATGCCACAATGCAATGAAGCAGTTATTGCAAATAAAATTGTTTTTGCAAAATATTTATACTTTATATATATTTTATATAATTTATCATAATAATCAATAAATATTCAAAATGTTCAACTTTATTTATTTATTTTTATCAAGTACAACTTTATAAATAAAAGAAAAAACTTTAAATTGAACCATTATTGTATATATATAAATATATATATATATATATATATATATATATATATATATATATATATATATATATATATATATATATATATATATAAATATATATATATATAAATATATATATATATATAAATATATATATATAAATATATATATATATATATAATATATATATATATATATATATATATATATATATATATATATATATATATATATATATATATATATATATATATATATATCCTTATAGTGTAGTCGAAAGAGTCTTTTAATGTAAAAAAAGTCTCTTTCGACTACAATTTTAATTACCTCGTCTCTTAAGCTGTATTTGATTGTTGACGAAATGTCAAAGCAATTAAATTAATGCGGAAGTACATTAAATTTTATTGTTTTTAAAAAATTTTTTAAAAAACCGCAATAATAACAACTAGAAAGTTTTTTTTAATTAGTGGTGTTTTTTTTTTTGTTATATTGAAAAACATTTATAAAACATGCGTAAATGTTGCTACATCAACTATCTTATAGCCTGCTGCTACAAGGGAGTATTTCTGCATCGACTATGTTATAGCCTGACTCGTAACGAAGGGCTGCTACGTCGACTGACAAATAGCCTGACTTGCAAGGGAGTGTTGCTACATCGACTGACAAATAGCCTGACTCACAAGGGAGTGCTGCTACAACGACTGACAAATAGCCTGACTCGCAAGGGAGTGCTGCTACATCGATTGAGGGTTTGGTTTGGGCAGGCAGTCTATCATTTAAAAAAAAAATAATTTAAGTTTTTAAACTTTTTCTGGTCTGGTTTATTAACGCGCTCTTTAAAACTACAGTTTATGGGAAACTCTTTCTGACTACCATGCAAGAGTATATATATATATATATATATATATATATATATACTCTTGCATGGTAGTCAGAAGAGTTTTATATATATATATATATATATATATATATATATATATATATATATATATATATATATATATATATATATATATATATATATATATATATATATATATATATATGTATATATATACATATATATATATATATATATATATGTATATATATATATATATAATATATTCATAAAAGCATATGTATGTATATATAAATACATATATATATGTATGTTTATTTATGTACATATATATGTATGTATCTATAGAGTAAAAAAAAAAGGTTAAGTATGCGTTACAAATCATCCTTTGTACTTTAAGGTTGTTCTTTAGCTCAAGGAAATACAAAAGTAAGAGAAAACAGTTACAAAAAAAAATTATAATCAGACATGAAAAAAAAAAATTTATTTTATGTCTGATTAAAATTCGTCAAACTTTTAAAAATATATGCTACACATATTTTTAACACAAGTTTAAAACAAACTATAATAAAAAGATTCAAAAGATTTATTATATAAAACTACTTTTAACAAACCTTTGCATCACATTTTTTTGTATTTGTCTTAATGGTTTTACCTCCAATTTTAGAAAGTTTGTTAACCTAAAGGTTTAAGAAAATAATTACACCGCATTATTTTTATAGTACATTTATAAAAAGTTACAAGTAGATTAACTTAGGCTAAGTTATTAATAAATACTTTTTCAAAAAACAATAAAAAAAACTGCAAAAAGTCATGGTTTGAAACAACCCATCACTTCTGACCTCACCCAAGAACCATTTAAACTGTTATCATAATCATTAAATTACTGCTGCAAGTTCATCCATAGAATTTCAGAACTATTTGTCATAATATTACTTTAATTACTGGAAAGAGTTTTTACTAACATCTCTTTCTAACAATAAAGATATATCAAAAAGATAAAAGAACCAAACATTAATTAATTTCTAAAAGGGTTGAAACACAAGAACAAAACATTTATAAAATAAAACATTATTCATAAATTAAATAAAATGTATTAACTTAGCAACCAATAAAATGTGTAAATCACTGAAGCATAGAAAAAAATGTTCAGAATCTTTTCTTCCAAAATCAACTTGCAGACAGACAATTAATACTTTGAGCTACAGTATGTGGAGTATGCATAAAAATTGTTTTCTGTTTCTTTTTTTGCGTTACAGGAGTAGGTACTTACTTACTATTCTGTTTGTTATTATGTTTTCTCTTGCATAAGCATGGTAGTGGCTCCTATAAAAATTAATATCAAAATAAAACTAATAATACTTGAATTAAGTATCTTTTAAAATAGTTACCATTTTCTGAATCTGATTCTATCTGAGTATCACTAGTAGTGGCAAATTTAAATTTATCACAACTCATGATCTAAGAATATTCATTCAATTTAAAAATATTTTAAATACATTATATAATAAAGAATATATAATAAAGAATATATCTAAACAACCTCGTACCCTTAAAAAAAGACAAGTTTTTCACACGAAAGAGTGTTTTTCTGATAAAATATGTCATCTTTATACACAAAAAATTGTTCCAATTTGCTTCCAATCCATTTCCAAATATTAGTGGTCTATTTTAGATTGAAGTGTTGATGTCTTTGTTACGTTTTAACACCCTCGTAGTGAAATGCTACATTGTTATAACTATTTGAACCTAAAAAACAATGATTATATTTTGTATGAAAAATTTTAAATTAAATTTTCTTACTTTACAGCATATACAAGTGGTGTATAAGTTGACATAAGGGACGGGACATGTGCCACGCCAAACGCCCCCCTTCCTGCCCAGTCGTATCCAACCTAAAAAAAAAAATTTTTAAAGATATTTGAAAAATAGTTTTAAATTAAGTTTATTGGAAAAGAGAAACAAGTATTCAAGATTATTTTAATATGTTAGTACAGGTAGGGGTGTGTGCTACACCCAACGCCCCCTCCCCTTCTCATTCAAACTTGCAAAAAATGTCAAAAAAAATTTTTTTAATGTTTTTAAATTATGCTTATTTAAAGAGACATAACTTTTCTAATCTTACCACATTACAAAATGCAAGTTGGAGTATCCACCCTAAAAATAGGCCAAAGATAAAACTAATTTTAAAACTTATATTTTAAAAAGTTTCAAAATACAAAATATAATAAATTTAAGTCTTGGCTTTTAGTAAATGATATTGTTTAAAATTCCAAGATTAATAATATTATAAATAATGTAAAAAAATGTACTAAATTATATAAACCTAAAAAATATCAAATAATTTAAAAAACTCATACATGCCTTCTTTAAACAAGTTACGATTACAAGAAACTGATATTTTAACCTCAATAATGCAAATATAATTTTTACGAACTGTAAACATAGGGTACAATAACATAAAATCAAATAACTATTAATAAAGTCAAACAAACATTTTTAATAAACTAAAACAAGAAAAGTAAATAAGTTTGCAAAATACACTTCACATTTATCAACATTTGAAATATTACACATAAATTTAAAATTACATTTAACGTGGGCTACAGAGTCTTAAAAAAAAAACCTAATTCTATTGAAAGGTCCACATCTATCTATAGTGTAAACTTTACAAGTTTATATAATACAACTTTTAAAAGTGTATAAAGTATTTCATTGGGACTATTACAATGTTTTGCTTTTAAATTTTTTTGGGTAAAAATTTGAAAAAATATAAAGCAAATGTTGATAATTGTATAAATTGGGAAAAAACGGAAAATAAACTTGCAGAAATTAAATATATATTAAAAAAAAAAAGGAATGGTGGTGCCTAATAAATGTAATAATCTCCATGAACCACTAGGCTGCCACCATTCCTTCTTCTCCCTCTGCTTCCTCCACTTCCACGACGTCGACCACCTCCCCTTCTGCTGCGGCTCCCAGCACCCTTGTTAGGAGGATGATAGGGCCATTTAAAAGAATTATTGTCCCTTCCTCCTAACCGGACCCATCGCTTAAATTAACTATTGCTGGTGGGTCCAGGATGCTGGGACCTATATAATAGGTAGTCTTGATAGGTTAGCTCTAAATAACAATGATTCGTTAATAGATTAGTACTGAATGGCATTATGTAAAATTTAATATAAAACAATTAATTGCAAAAGTGATAGGCTGAATAAATAATATGAACAACGTATTAATCAATGATAACTTAAACAATATTAATGAGAGTAATAATTTCATTCTGCTGCACTTTGAGGGATAACACAACACTAATGCATTAAATAGTGTATATAAATATAAACATAAATTCAATAATCATTAAGAAACATTTTTAAATCATAAATTTACCAGCAGAAGGTTGAACACCTGGAACTAAAGATAAAAAAAGTTTCTATAAAAATTTGCAATTGATAAGAAAGGTGTGTAAATGTTTGCAAATAATAGTTTTTAAACTTACGAGTCATAGAAGGCGCAGAAGATGTAACTTAAGATTATCAAAGTTGTGATTAAAAATAAATACTGTAATTGCCAAGATATGCATAAACATATTAAAAAGTAGAAACTTGTAAACATACCATAAATAGCAGATGTAGAAGGAACTAAGGTTAAAAATGATTTAATAAAAAATTTATATTGCATTTATCAGGAATATATATACGCATATTAAGAAGTAATAACTGTTAAACTTACCATTCGTTGAACACGTAAATGTAGCTAAAATTCAAAATTTGTAATAAAAAATAAATATTGCAAATAATGACTTTGAAACTGGTAATCTTTGAAATCTATTCACAGATCAAAAAGTACTAGCTGATTCTATAATTATTAGCATATACAAACTAATACAAACTCACCTGTGATAGGCTGTGTAGATTCAACTAAAAATAAAAAAAAAATTGTACACAAAATAATTTGAAATTGTCAACAAATGTAAATGTAGTTACAAATGTAACAGTAGTCAATTTTGTGCTGCTTTAAAATGTAATATAAAACAATTAATTGTACAAGTGATAGGCTGAATAAATAACATGAACAACGTATTAATCAATGATAGCGTAAAAAATGTTCATGAGAGTAACAATTTTATTTTACTGCACTTTGAGGGATAACACAATACTTATGCATTAAATAGTGTATATAAATATAAACATAAATTAAAAAATCATTTTTAAATCATAAATTTACCAGCAGAAGGTTGAACACATGGAACTAAAAATAAAAAAAGTTTCTATAAAAATTTGCAATTGATAAGAAAGGTGTGTAAACATTTGCAAATAATAGTTTTTAAACTTACTAGTTATAGTAGATGCTGAAGATGTAACTAAATGTTATCAAAGTTGTAATTAAAAATAATTACTGAAAAAAAACTAAAGATTATCAAAGTTGTGATTAAAAATAAATACTGTAATTGCCAAGATATAAACATTTTGAAAAGTATAAATTAGTTAACATACCTTTTATAGCAAATGTAGAAGGAACTTAGGTTAAGAATTATTTAATAAAAAATTTATACTGCAGTCATCAAAAATATATACACATATTAAAAAGTAATAATTGTTAAATTTACCATTTGTTGAAGACAAAGATGTAACTTAAATTCAAAATTTGTAATAAAAAATAAATATTGGAAATAAGGACTTTGAAATCGGTAATCTTTGAAATTTATTTACAGAATAAAAAGTACTAGCTAACTCTATAATCATTAGCATATACAAACTGATAAAATCTTACCAGTGATGGGCTGTGTAGATTCGACTAAAAATAACAAAAAATTTGTGCACAAAATAATTTGAAATTGTTAACAGTAAGTTACAAATGTTAAAAGCTGTACAAAAATTAAAAGGTTTTCTACTTAAGATGCAACAACTATACTAACAAAATGAAAATAAACAACTAAATATAACTATTAAAATATAAAGATAATATATTTATAAGCAACAAGTTAACATAAGGAATGGTTATAAACTTATGTAAACAATAAACACATAAAAAGATGATATACAATAAGTAAAAAAATTAACTCTAGTTTTTTTAAGACTTTCTATAGATAGGAAGATATTATAAATGTTTGTTAATATTTACTTATTGTATACTTTTTCTCTTTGTGAATATTAAATTTAAACTTTATGTGATTTATACTTACGAAATCTCAAAAAATCATTAAAAAGCCGGGCAGGATCTAAACAAGAAATAAATATTAGACATGCTTGTATAATGATTTAAACACTAATTCATAGATAAAGAAGTATGTAATCCAAATATGATAAAAGACAATAATAATGATTTACTTTTTTTTTTCTTTTTGAAATTCTTTTGTTATATTTTAAAAACAATAAGAAGCTTTTTGTTAAGATTAACATAATGAAGTATGTAATAAAATTGTTTATATGTAATGTTTTAATAAATTGTGAACTGAATCTAACAAGTGACAATCAGTTTTAATAGGCTATTATAAACCACATATATTATATGTGGTTTATAATAGCCTATTAAAACTAATTTTTTTAAACACTAAAAATTTTTTTTGTTAGGCTTACACTAATGCAGTATGTAATTTACTCATTTATATGATATAAATGAGTAAATTACATACTGCATTAGTGTAAGCCTAACAAAAAAAATTTTTAGTGTTTAAAAAAATTAAAACTGTGACTATGAATTATTCAATGAATACCAACAGTTTTAATCTTAAACATTAACCTTTTTTAATATGTTACATAAAAAACAATGAAGGTTTTACATTAATCATTATTTTTTGGAGTTAAAAAGTTATTAATACTATTATTAAGAATAAAAAAAAATTGAACTTACTTTCTGTTAGGGCATCTAACACACTCTTGCTATATGTTGCCATATTTTTTTAAATCTAATAATATATATCACAATTATTAAAAATCTTATTCAAAATAAGATTTTTAGTTAAAACGCCCCCTTATCCGGATTTCGGCGCCTACCGGATTTTGCTTACCAAAAAAAACAACAACAAAAAAATCGAAATTAGGTACCTAAAGTCCAACACTAATTAGACTAATTGCTTATCCTTATTTTTTGATGAAATTTGGCATGTTCATAGAAAATGCATGAAAAAAACTATTTTAATAATAAAAAAAACAGACTCTACATTTCTTCAACTACAAATCTATGTTACAACATCAGCCAAATTTCCATGCAAAATTCTCAGCAAAATACTCCATAAAAAGGTATGTTAGCAATACACAAAAGTTTATATAAATCAAGCCGAATCTTTCTTCTTTCAAAAGTCGTCAAGGTTAATATATGTTTCTAAAAATAACCACCTCAAAAAACCGTTTGCCTAGGGCTACCTGAAAAAAGTGGTATACTTGGTATAACACTAATTAGACTAATTGCTTATCCTTATTTTTTGATGAAATTTGGCATGTGCATAGAAAATGCATGAAACAAGCTATTTTAATAATAAAAAAAGCAGACTCTACATTTCTTTGACCACAAATTCATGAGAGAACATCAACCTAATATTCAGGAGCAAAATATTCCATAATAAAGTTTAGTAACCATACATAAAAGTATTTCAAAAATCAAGATTAACTTTTCTTCTTTCCAAAAAGTATCTATGTCTATATATGTTTCTAAAAAGAAACTACTTAAAACTACGTCTGCCTCACGCTGCATAAAAAAGAGTGAAAAAAACGAGAACCAAAATTTTAGCATAAAAATCGGTTCCGTAAATCGCGATTTCCGCGTACCTAATATATATATAATATATATATATATATATATATATATATATATATATATATATATATATATATATATATATATATATATATATATATATATATATATATATATATATATATATATATATATATATATATATATATATATATATATATATATATATATATATATATATATATATATATATATATATATATATATGTATATATATATATATATATATATATATATATATATATATATATATATATATATATATATATATATATATATATATATATATGTATATATATGTATATATATATATATATATATATATATATATATATATATATATATATATATATATATATATATATATTATATAAATAAGAAAAACATATATAATATATATTTTATATTTATGTAATATATCAAGTAATCTCTACTTGTAATCCACACTCATGAAATAATACGGTCATAAAGAAATATCCATTTAATATTTACTTTACTAAATGCATCACAAGTTAAGCCATGTATTATTGTTAAATTGTCAAATTCAAAACCTTATAAAATGGCAACAGATGGCCTAATTTATTAGCATGTGTGACTTTACTTGTTTTTATTGGGCTAATAAGTAACTTTTTAAGTCTTTACTTGTTATTTGTTATGCTAACAAAAAAAATTTTAAGTCACGCATGCGTATTTTAGTTCTCATATTGCAATTACGAACGGTCGAACTCGTAATATAGACGTGGAATCAACGTCGATTTTATTTGATAGTTTTAAACAAATTTTTCAACGTTGATACAACGTTGATTTTTGGTTATACGACGTCGCGACTAAAAATCAACTGTAAATCAACGTCGAAATAACGTCGTATGCCCACTGGGATATCATAGCTTGAGAAGGTTTTGATATCATGCTGATATCACATTGATATCGCGATTTGATGTGTAGTCATCCAGTTATAAGTATTTTATTTTAGTAGCGGTTAGACATTCGACACATATCACCAATTAGTTTGAACTTATTTGAAAACAATATCATTTTAACATAAGTTTTTGCTCCTCAACTACCAGAACTTGTAAAAGAACCATCACTAGCAAAACCAGTGACTAGGCTATATCAGCCGCTACTTTCTATATCTACAGAAACAACATTGAGCATCAGCATACGTTGTTTAGCATCAACAGTCAACTATAAAGTAAACTTGTCTAAAATCAACCTTCAATAGTTAAGCTTGGTAATCTTCGATAATGTAGCAACTCCGAACAATAAAAAAAAAAATTAAAAGAAGTTGAAAACAATTCAATTGATCCATTCGCTTCCCGCAGCTTTGCTGTAAATGCTTAACATTCAGCACTTTAATATAAAAAACTAAAAAACGTTGACCTGTCAAGGTTTGAAGGGGATAATTTCAAACGATGTAACTTTTGCAAAGAGCAAAAGAAGAAAAAAGCAACAACAGCAACACAAAACTAAGTCAAGTGTTGAAACGTTGTTATCAAAGCTTCAATGATTCAAAATTTTAAATGGTAAAAGAAGCCGCACAAGTGACAACTTAACTCTTCTCCACGAATCAACATTATCACAAGAATGACCGATAAATTTTATATTTAAATATTTAATTCACCCCAAAATTAAGAGTAAATTCTAGGTCTCTAATGCTAGCATTTTTTTTTTTTTTTTAACTGTATGAATTTTTTCAAACCGTAAAACATTATAAGCACAATAAGCAGGACCAAAAACACAATAAGCAGAACCAAAAAGAAGACATAGTTTGTTATTTTGTCAAGCCACTATACCAAAAATATAAAATTAAGAAATCGCAACACTATATAAAACGTTTTTATAAAGACTTTATAAAAATCATAGTCCATCTTTAGACTATGATTGTTATGGTGGTTTTATTAATTTTCTTTATTAATTACTAAATTAAATTAGAACAATTTGTCTTTAAGTAAAAATTAATTTTAATAAAAATATTGATGAACATGATATATTTCAACATTACAACAAACCTTGCAAAACATCAATGTATCCCATGCAATGGAGTACTATGATCTCCAACTTGGGGGACTTTGATCTTATATAATAACATTATTTTTATGTTTAATATTTTTAAATACCTAATTTATATACCTATATAAATACTATAAATGCTTTAGTAGAAGGTATTTGTTAGGACCCTGCAAAAATTGAACCAAAATTAATTTGGTTCGATTTGTAAATCAAATGTCAGCTCACAAGTTTGGCATTAATCGAATGAATTTAAAAAGATATTGTCATAAAAAGAAGATCAATCCAAATGAATCTTTTAAGTCAACAATAAACAAAAATTTTACTGCATAAGATGAAAAGAGTTTATCAAGTTAATTACTTGCATCAAGTTAATACGACTATTGGCATGTTTTGAGCTTGCTGTAAAAAATAATAAGATCTGCTCATCATGGTCAAAAGACCACTCACTATAAAAACACTTTTATAGAACGGATAAATCATTTTGAGAGGTATTCAAACTGTACTCATGAATCTTTAGTTTTGTTACTTCTGGACGACCATAAAAGTCATATTTCTGTTAGAGTTTTGGATCTTTCAATTCAAAATGGAATAACAAAGCTAAGTTTCTCTCCATATTGCACACATAAATTACAACAATTGGGTAAAACTGTTTTCAAACCATTGAAAAGGTTCTACCATGCTGCTTGTGACAATTCGATGGTCACAAATCCAAGACCTATAACCTATAAGGAAATCCAAATTTAGGCATCTTTTTTCAAAAAAAAAATCTACATGCAAAAAATTCACTGACCTGTTCTCTAAAACTTTAACAAAAGCTGCTTTCATTGTATCAGATGGTAAAGCCATCATTGTATCAGATGGTGAAGCCAGTGGTTTTTTTTTTCTATATCTAAGCATTTAAAGATTTGAAAATTAAAAAAAAGTTTAAAATAAAATAATTGTTTAAAAAAAAGTATTTTACTTAATAATATTATGTAAACTAATTGTAAAATTATTTAAATGTATAAATTTTAAACAAAAAATATAAGTCTTATAATATAAGTTATATGGGGCACTTTCATCCTCCGATCAATGAGCCCCGCATAGTCAACGGTCAATGTACCCCAATAGGAACAGTTGTTATATTGATGCCAATAACTTTTGTAAATATTGTAAATAACTCAAAAAAAAAACTTTTTTATATACTTAACACATATGATTTTACAATAAAATGGTTGTAAAGTCATACGGCAATCTAATTAAAAATTTACTTGAATTTGTTTACTACTTTCAAAAAATCACTTTTCATGATAAAAAACAGTATTTTTTTTTTTTTTTAACGCAGAAGTTGATCTTATCGAAAATATTTGGATTAAAGAATAAAGGATAGTATAATGGCTAATTAAATTGGAATCTCTCTAAAAATAAGGCAAAAACAAACGAGTAAAAGCTAAAAGATCATGCTGCCCCGGCAATCAATGCGCCTCCATCTACCCTAGTGCATAGCATAACATTTATAAACCATAAGTTTTTATAAAAAAAAGAATCAAAGTAACAATAAGTGACACTATAATTTTACCATGCTAGTTACCAAGCTATTCACTGAGCTAGTTCACCTTGCTCAAGTAAGTTTTTGAAGAAGTTAACTAACCAGAAACAACAAATAAATATAAAATACCTTAAAAATAATGCGATATAACAAAATCAGTATACAAAAAATGTGCAAATTTATTTGTGAAAATTAACAAAAAACCGCTAAAGCTAGTTATTATAATATAATACTTTTTAAAAGTGTCATTAAAATTACTAATAACAGATGCCAGTAAAACACGGCAATTGCTATATGAAATTATTACTGAACCAAAAGTTAACAAATCATACTTTATTAAAACTATAAATATCAATCACAAATCAATTGGTAATGAAAACGACATTGCAAATGAGTTTAACAACTTCTTTGTTAATATAGGATTTAATCTTGCATCTCAAATTCCTCGTGTAAATAAATCTTTTGATAAATATATAAGTCGTAAAAAAAATGGAATAAATAACAATAAACTAACCATCTTAGATATTGACGAGGCTCATAAAAGCCTAAAAAGAAACAAGGCAACCTGAATTGACGATGTCAGTAGCAATATAGTAATTAAATGCTACAACAAGATTAGAATTTCATTATTAAAATTTTTTAAATGCTCCTTGAAGGAAGGTTTTTTTTTTTTTTGAAAAACTGCTGAAGTAATGTTATATATGTATAAATATAAAAGTAAACTAGAACCTCTCTTTAGTAAACCTCTCTTTAGTAAACAGAAGCAACCTACACAAGCAGGAGCGTAGCCAGTATTTTTTTATCTTTGAGATAGCTAGCTTCCAGAAATGAAGTAAACTCTAAACCTTCGTATGTTTATACTTACGTCAAATAAGGATGCTTTGCAAGAAACTACGATGATTGGAGCCTGGGAACAAAAGAGCCCCAAAATTTGCCCTTTGCCGCAAACGTGAAAGTAACAAGTTTATAAAACATTTTTTGTAATACTTTTAACTAGCTTTAAATTCATCCATAAATTATAAGTTTCATAGTACATTCTCTTAGCGTTCAAAAATGACTTTATAAAATTTGTAACCCCCTCAAATTGAAGGGTTTCAATCGTTTTATGGTCATAATTTTTGAACACTAAAATATTACACTATGAAACCTAAAATTTGTCAATGAGTATTAATCTAGTTGAGTACAGAAATATTTTATCAACTTGTTGCTCTCACGTTTGGGGCAGGGGGCGAGTAAGCTTATTATTAACAACACGTAATACATCAAAAAAAGCAAAGCACACGCCCCTCATCAATAGTTTTTGCCTCAATTTGGTTTTAAACTCATTAAGTGTTGCGAATGTTTTAAGTTTATTAGTTAATATTTTATTTTTATAGAATTGGTTCTTTAGTAGAAATTGAAAAACCAGTCGCCGCAAAATAACCTTTGGGCTAAATGTTATTTGAAAAAAAATTTGTAACTGTTATTTGAAAGCC